TGAAGGGTTTAAGGAAGGCAAGAAAGCATGTTGTGGAAGCGGACCATTTAGAGGAATCAATACGTGTGGAAACCGAAGGGGACCTTCACAAGGTTACGAGTTATGCGAAAACGTTACCGATTATTTGTTTTTCGATTCCTCTCATTTGACAGAGAAGGCTCRTCGACAGATCGCAGAGCTGATTTGGAGCGGGCCACCTAATGTCACTGGACCTTATAATCTCAAAGCTTTATTTGAACTTAAGCTTACTTAGAATCGCTCATGTCTGTTTATATAAATAAAAGACGAGGTACTCTTGCCTAATCATCTAAATCATGTACTCTGTGTTTAAACTAACAATAAATAAAGATGTTTTTTTTGTAACTTTTAAATTTGTTTCAAACCGGTCAATGTCATTAGATTTGTTTTCGAGCCCAACAAACTTATACCACAAGAAACTTGTTACCTGTTCCACAAGAAACTTGCTATTGCTTTAGGGTTTATTTTGTTACCATGAAATAAAAACTACCTTTTGGGTAAAGTACAAACTTAAAAGCCACATCGAATTAGCTAATTTTTAATTTATCTTTATGTTTACCGGTAGTAAATTTGATTTTCACGTTGCGGGGTCCAAACCGCGATCCACGGTCCAAACCTGCGGCACGACAAACCGCTCTATATTTTATTAGTGAATTATATATCGATGAGACATTAACAAAAATGCCACTTTTTGAGTTCATATTTGTAAAAATACCATTTTTGGTGGTCATTTGAAAAATCCCACTAATTATGATTTTTTAGAGTCTAAATCTTAAAATTCTAAACACTAAAAATTCTTTTGACCCCTAAAACTTCTAAAACCCTCAAAACTAAACCATAATACAACATAGTTAACCCAAACATAAATGATATAAAGAATAAAATAATTTTGAAAAAGTGACAGTTTTGTAAAAATTGCAAAAAGTGGCATTTTTATAAAGTTATTTCAAGTGGCATTTTTTTTTAAATTTATCTATATTGATTTTCTAATTGTTGTATATATTGTACAAATAATTATAAAATGCCACTATTTCCCACAAAATAATATTAAAGTCTCGACGAACCTAAGTATCCAACGTAGCGCTGGAAAAGTATATTATCATACAATTGTTTTTTTTTTTTAAACTAGACTATACACTTGTTGAAAAGAAAAAAAATTAAATCTATAGTTATGTGCGTCTGATCAAATCATTTTATCAAAAAATTACTTTGATTACTTCAACTACTATTTATCATTGTATTGCACCGATCACCGATGCGACCACAATATTTCTAACGCTTAACCAATTTCGAATCCTCTCATTTCCACAACAATTTGGAATTAGATTTTTGGATTATTATTTTGTATAACTCATTTTTTTTTTTGTAGGTTTGATGGAATATATTTGTATAAAAACAGCTCTATATAAATCCATGGGCGGTTAGATGTATATTACAAAATATCAAAAATGTCTTTGTCTAACTTCATACTTTTATTAACAAGATATTTCATCCAAAATGAAATATCTTGATTCATATCGATCTCGATTCAATGTTGTGCATCGGAAAGTTATGCTTTAGAAACACAACTTGACCACAAGACTACATTTTTATATCAAGAAAATAAGAAAATTCCACATTAGATCACCTATATATATTACATAAAACAAATACTATTGCATAACAAATTATACAACTTCAAATATGGAGAACTCTCGATTAGTTTCGATCATCTTCTTCGTCTACACAATCATCTTATCCATAGGCTCAATCAACTGCCGAGACAATAACAATCTTGTAGACAAGAATTGTCTAATATATAAGAGATGTCCAACTCTAATTAGTATGAGGCCTTTTGGGAAGGAACTCAAAAACAAATTCATGCGGGCTTTGCCTCTGGGCCCAAAGCGGACAATATACTAATGGGAGGAGTTGGACATAGGCTTGGAAAGCCCAACAAATGGTATCAGAGCCAGGTTCGGAAAAGTTTACCTGGAGAAGTGGGTTGGGCTGCGTGTTCGATGTGGGAGGAGAGCCCCTAAAAAAGAGACCTCGCGAATAGGGTGCATGGACCTTGTATCGAAGGTATTCCTAACGGTGTCCCAAAGGTTAGGTGAAAAACAAGCGACAAGATGGGTGCCAGGTTTCGCCGGAGGTAGAAGACCACGGGTTTATGTGGTACTTGGTTTGAGGGGAGGATTGTTGGGAAATCAATCCAAGTCCTACATCGGAAGTTTAGACAAGAATTGTCTAATATATAAGAGATGTTCAACTCTAATTAGTATGAGGCATTTTGGGAAAGAACCCAAGACCAAATCCGTGCGAGCTTTGCCTCTGGGCCCAAAGCGGACAATATCATACTAATGGGAGGAATTAGACATGGGTTTGGAAAGCCCAACAGGTAACTAAACTTGGTATAATTACAAATATGTAATAAATCGATCTTTAGTATAGCTTGAGGAGCGT